AAGAAAGAAAGAAAGAAAGAAAGAAAGAAAGAAAGAAAGAAAGAAAGGGGAAGGAGAGAAAGAGGGAAAAGAAAGAAAAGAAAGAGGGAAGGAGAGAAAGAATGAGAGAGAGAACAAAAGAAAGAGAAAGAAATAGGGAAGGAAAGAAAGAAAGGAGGGAAAGAGAAAGAAAGGAAGAAAGAAAGGAGAGAGAAAAAGGAGAGAAAGAAAAAGGGAAAAGAAAAAGAAAGGGGGAAGGAGAGAAAGAGAGAAAGAAAAAGAAATGAGGGAAGAAGAGAGAATGAGAGAAAAAATGAAAGAAAGGAAGGAAGGAGAGAAAGGAGGGAAGAAAGAAAGAAAAAGAAAAAAGGGAAGATGAAAAAGAAAGTATGAGAGAGAAAGAAAGAGGAGGGAAAGAGAGAAAGAAAGAGAAAGAAGGAAAGAAAGAGAAAAAAGAAAGAAAAAAGGAGAGAAGAAAAGAAAGTATGAGAGAGAGAAAGAAAGGAGGGAAGGAGAGGAAAGAAAGGGAAGGAAAGAAAGAGAAAAAGAAAGAAAAAGAAAGGAGGAGGAGGGAAAGAGAGAAAGAAAGAAAGAAGGAAAGGAAAGAAGGAAAGAAAAAGAGAGAGAGAAAAAAGAAAGAAAAAAGGAGGGAAGAAGAGAAAGAAAGTATGAGAGAGAGAAAGGAAGGAGGGAAGGAAAGAAAGAGAGAAAAAGAAAAAGGAAGAGGAGGGAAAGAGAGGAAGAAAGAATGAAAGGAAAGAAAGAAAGTAAGGGAGAGAGAGAGAAAGAAAGGAGGGAAGGAGCGGAAAGAAAAGAGGGAAGGAAGGAAAGAGAAAAAGAAAAAGAAAGGAGGAGGAGGGAAAGAAAGAAAGAAGGAAAGGAAAGAAGGAAAGAAAGAAAGAGTAAGGGAGAGAGAGAGAGAAAGAAAGAAGGAAAGAAAGAAAAAGAAAGAAAGAGGTCTCCAACCTTTCTGGCTGGGTGGACGGGGGGGGGGGGGGAGGGGGGATGGGCTGTGTGAGGGGCAGGTGCGTGCGTGGACATGCACAGCGCCATTTGCGCAAGCCCGCCCCTCACTCAAACGGAGCTTCGTGCCTGCTGCCAGCACAAGTTACACCTGCGTGCAGCGGTCATAAATACGAATCGGTTGCCAAACAATCTGAACTACGATCACACGATCACACAGGGCACGCTCTAAAGGTCGTAACTCTGAAACGTGGTCAGGAGTCTCATTTTCCGGCTGCCGTTGTAACTTTGAACGGTCACTCAATGAACTGTTGTAAGTCGAGGGCTACCCGTACAGAGTACCAGAATGGGAAGGGACCCTGGAGATCTTCTAGTCCAACCCCCCCCCTGCTCAAGCAAGGAAACCCTAGGCCAGTTCAGACAGGGGGCCCATCCGGTCCCTTCCTCAAAACCTCCAGGGATGGAGCAACCCCTAACTTCTGGTGGCAGGCGGTTCTGCTGGCTAACCGTACCCCGTTGCTTTCCAATCCCACAGCGGATCATCGCCACCCTCCGAGACTCCAATCAGAACCAAGTTGGCATCGCCAAAGCAGAGCTCAGCGTCGTGGAGAAGAAAGTGGAGAAGAAAATGGCAAGTAAGCTGTGCCTACCTGGCCTCCTCACCTGGGTGGGCGTGGGGTGGGTGGGTGGGCGTGGGGTGGGCAGAGGAGAGCGCCACGCTTTTCACCTCCCCAAGGAAGGAAGGAGCAGCGCCTTGTGGCAAGGTGGCTTATCAGGGAACCCCCCCCCCCCGCTCTCAACCTACAGGTAAGATGGACAGGTAACCCTTTCATTTAGCAACCGTTTGGAGTTACAGCCACGTTGGAAAAAGGGGGCCGCGACTGGTCCTTGCAATCGTTCATTCGTTCATTCATCCGTTCCTTCCTTCTTTCATTTGTTGATTCGTTCCTTCGTTCCCTCCTTCGTTCCTTCATTGATGGGGCAGGTAGTCGCGTGATCACAGCCCAGGCGCTTGGAAACGGGCAGGGCTTGGTACCTTTTCAGTGGCTTTTGCTTAACGCTGCTTAACGCTGACCCTGCAGCTGCTCACCTCAGGGCCCCCACAGCCCGGCCATCCATACGCCCCCCCCCCACCTCGTGGCCACGGCCCCACCACACCACCTCAGCATCCTCCGCGGGCAAACGGAACTGGACTCCAGCTGCACAGGGCTGCTGGTGCCGGTCGGTCTGTCTGTCTATCTATCCATCCATCCCTATCTATCTTTCTATCTATCCAACTATCCATCTATCTATCTGTTTATTTATCTGTCTATCTCTGTCTATCTGTCTGTCTGTCCGTCCATTTGTCCATCCACCTCTATCTTTCTATCTATCCAACTATCCATCTATCTATCCATCCATCCATCTATCCATCTTTATCTATCTATCCATCCATCCATCCATCCATCTATCCATCCATCCATCCATCCATCTATCCATCCATCTATCCATCTCTAGCTATCTAGCTATCTTTATCTATCTGTTCATCCATCCATCTATCCATCTCTATCCATCCATCTATCCATCTATCCAACTCTATCTATCTATCTATCTATCTATCTATCTATCCATATCTGTTCATCCATTCATCCATCTATCTATCCATCTATCCATCTCTATTCATCCATCCATCTATCCATATCTATCTATCTATCTTATCTATCCATCCATCCATCTATCTATCCATCCATCCATCTATCTATACATCCATCCATCTATATCCATCTCTATCCATCTATCTTTATCTATCTATCCATCCATATCTATCTATCCATCCATATCTATCTATCTATCTATCTATCTATCTATCTATCTATCTATCTATCTATCTACCTACCTACCTACCTACCTACCTATCTATTCATCCATCCATCTATCTATCCATCTCTATCTATCTATCTATCTATCTATCTATCTATCTATCTATCTATCTATCTATCTATCCATTCATCCATCCATCCATATCTATCTATCCGTCTATCCATCTATCTTTATCTATCCATCCATCTCTATCCATCCATCCATCCATCTATCTATATCCACCTCTATCTATCTATCCATCTATTTTTATCTATCTACCTATCTATCTATTCATCCATCCATCTATCTATCCATCTCTATCTATCTATCTATCTATCTATCTATCTATCTATCTATCTATCTATCCATTCATCCATCCATATCTATCTATCCATCTATCCATCTATCTTTATCTATCCATCCATCTCTATCCATCCATCCACCCATCCACCCATCCATATCTGCCTGTCCATCTGCCTGCCTGCCTGCCTGTCTACTTTATATGCAGTATTGTAGGCTAACTAACCGGCTCCGGGTCGACTCAGCCTTCCGTCCTTCCCAGGTCGGTAAAACGAGGACCCAGATGGTCGGGGGGGCAAATAAGGCTGACTCTGTCAACCGCTTAGAGAGGGCTGGAAAAGCACCGCGAAAGCGGCATATAAGTCTGATGGCTGTTGCCGTTCTATACCTTTCTTTTCTCTTTTGAGAGCGGGCATCAGAATCCCGCTGTTCTCCCACCTGCTCCCGTGTGTTTCCCAGGACGACCCCCGCCCCCCCCCCAAAAAAAGAGGTGACCCTCCAGGTTCTCTTCTTCCCCTTTCAGAGATGGACCAGGAGCTGAAACGGGTCGGCGCCCGAGTGCACACCTTGCAGGAAGAGGTCAACGTCTTGCGGACCTACATGGACAAGGAGTATCCGCTCAAAGCGGTCCAGATCGCTTCCCTTCTGCGCAGCATCCGGAACCTGAACGAGGAGCAACGGGTGGGCAGAAGCAGAAGGGGGAGGGGGTCCTTCCCAGCCCTCCCCCCCATCTCAAGAGAGCGGTGGGGGCAGGTGGGGGGGGGTCCTCCATGCAGAGCCGCCTTTAAAGACCTCTCCCCTCTCCCCACCCGCCGCCTTCCACCTCCAGTACGAATTGGAAGACACCGAAGATCTGGCCAAGCGCTTCCTGGACACCTTAGCCGGGAAAGCCAGGGACGAGCAGGAACGCATTCTGCAATCTGTGGCCGATGTGAGTGGAATTCAACACAGGGAATCAGAGTGGGAAGGGATCTTATAGGTCATCTAGTCCAACCCGCCGCCCAAGTAGGAGACCTGACACTATTTCTGACCGATGGCAGCCCGGCCATCTTCTTGAAAAGCCTCCAGGGATGAAGCTCCCACAACTTCTGAATAAGAGAATAATAATAAGAGTGGGAAGGGACCCTGCAGGTCATCTAGTCCAACCCCTCCCACCCAACCAGGAGACCGGACACCATTTCCGACCGAGGACCTTGAAAACCTCCAGGGATGAAGCTCCCACAACTTCCGAGGGCAAATTCTGTTCCATGGGTGGATTGTTTCTCACGGTCTGTAAATTCCTCGTTATTTCCAGGTTGAATCTCTCCTGGATCAGTTTTTACCCCCCCTAAAAAAAGCCAACTGGTTTGTTTGTTTTTTTCTCCTTTGAAAACATTTTGCTTCTCACCCCAAGAAGCTTCTTCAGTTCTAGCTGACTGGTGGGGAGAGATTGGATAGCCATTTATCCAGAATGCTATAGGGTCTTCTGACCGATCGGAGGGTTGGACTAGAAGACCTTAAAAGTCCCTTCTATCTCTATTCTGGCTGATTGATTGAGCAGAGGCTTGGACCAACAGATAATCAGAGTTGGAAGGGACCTTGTAGGTCATCTAGTCCAACCCCCTGCCCAAGCCGGAGACCTGACACCATTTCTGACAGATGGGAGTCCAGTCTCTTCTTGAAAGCCTCCAGGGATGAAGCTCCCACAACTTCTGAAGGCCACTTTCATGTTCCATGAGTTGATTGTTCTCACCGTCAGAAAGTTTCTCTTTATTTCTAAGTTGAATCTCTCCTTGTTCAGTTTCCATCCATTATTCCTTGTCTGGCCTTCAAAGGGGCTTTAGAAAATAGCTTGACCCCCTTCCTCCTCTCTGTGGTAGCCTCTCAAATATTGGAAGATGCTCTCCTGTCTCCCCTGGTCCTTCTCTTCCCTAGACTAGCCAGGCCCAGTTCCTGCAACCGTTCTTCATATGTTTTAGCCTCCAGTCCCCTCATCATCCTGGTTGCTCTTCTCTGCACTCTTTCTAGAGTCTCAACATCTTTTTTGTAGTGTAGTGACCAAAACTGGATGTAGGACTCTAGGTGTGATTTTACTAAGGCTTTATAGAGTGGTATTAGTACCTCCCTTGATCTCGATTGTATCCCTCCATTAATGCAACCTAGGATTGCATTGGCTTTTTGGGCTGCCGCCGCTCACTGCCGGCTCCTATTTGGCTGGTTGTCCACTCAGACTCCGAGATCCCCCTCCCACAGCCCTAATTTTGTCGATCTTTTTTGGTCGTTCTAGAAGACGCTGCTGCAGTATCAGGATGGCCTGGAGCAGATGCACCGGAACAACAAGGAACTGAGGAGGCAGATAGACGTGCAAAAGGAGGCAAGAATATCTGGGAGTTGCAGCCAGTTGACTTGGCCGAGAACTGAGCTCGTGTTAGGGTTGGTTAGAAGTGTCTTCTCTTGATCACCTGGTGGCTCCCTATCCCACAGCAGGGTAACTTTCACGGAGGTTTCGTGGCTGCTAGAAACTGTTAACCTATCGACGACAAAAGGGAAATCCTGAGATGAGGTCTTTGCTAGACAAACAGTCCTCGATTTAGTGACTGTTCATTTAGTGACCATTCAAAGTTGCTGTCATGGTCCACCGGCAGCCTGTGGAGCTGGCCGCTGAGTCGGTCAGTGGGGAGGAACAGGGGCCAGTCCTGGAGTCTGGGGAGGGCTCAGACGAGGGATCTGCGTCCGACACAGAGATGGGGCCAGGGCCATCTGAGAGTTATGTGCCGACTCTGGAGCCTCCAGAATCTGACAGCAGTGAGGCAGAGGAACAGCGGGAGCCTGTTCCCAGTGTGCGCTTGCACAGAGCTGCCAGAAGGCAAGAGCAGTTAAGACAAAAGGGGTGACTTGAGAGTAAGGCTTGGGGATGATTGGCCCCTCCCATAAGACACCAAGGAGGAGCCAAGGGACGTGAGCCTTTGCAGGAAGCAACTTCGTTCGTTCTGGTCAGTTGAAACTCTGAAGCTCCATGTTGATTTAGTCTTGTACAGCTAATTGGCAATTGCCGACTTCAGAATCTGACAGCAGTGAGGCGGAGGAACAGCGGGAGCCTTGTTCCCAGTGCGCATGTGCGCAGAGCTGCCAGAAGGCAACAGCAGTTAAGACAAAAGGGGCGACTTGAGAGTAAGGCTTGGAGATGATTGGCCCCTCCCGTAAGGCATCAAGGAGGAGCCAAGGGACGTGAGCCTTTGCAGGAAGCAACTTTGTTCATTCTGGTCGGTTTAAACTCTGAAGCTCTGTGTTGACTTTGTGCTCCGTTTGGCCTCGTGTAGCTAATGGGCAATTTAGTCATTGGCAGCATTTCCAGGGAAATAAAGGTGGGTGCTTATCTCGAGGGACTTTTTGGGACTGCTTACCGGCTGGGAATGAATATAATTCCCAGCTATTGAAATAAAAAGAGGGTTGTTTGGACTAAGAGTGTGCTTATTTACGGTCTCAGGAAGCCTTGGTCAGAACATTTGCAACGGCACAGAAAAAAGCGACTTACGACCATTGCAAGATCCCCCACGGTCACATGGTCAAAATTCGGACGCTGAGCAACTGACTCGTATTTATGACGGTCACCGTGTCCCGGCGGGGGGGGGGGAGGGAGTTCACACGATCCCCTTTTGCGACCGTTGGACCAGCCAAGTCAAGGGGGAACCCAGCTTCACTTCACCGTCGGACGAACTTTTAACGACCGCAGTAATTCCTTTAACAACGGTCAGAAGAACGGCCATTAAAAAAAAACACACGCCAACCCTCCTGAATATGAGTCAGTTGCCCAGGGGCTGAATTGTCGATCAGGTGACCACGGGGTTGCTACCTAAGTCGTTTCTTTTTTTTCAGCGCCATTGTACCTTTGGGTCATTCAACTAACTGTTGTAAGTCGAGGACTACTTGAAATAGAGGTCCCGGACGCCCATCGTGTTGAAAAGTCCCTTGGGAGTAGATGGGAGGTCCAACAAGGAGTATCTGTTCCCCCCCCAAAATAAGACCCTGCCTTCTTATTTTTTGCCACACACACACACGAAAAAAAGGCACCGGGTCTTATTTTCGGGGGACGCCATCCACCGACTAACCTCACTTACGTGCGTCGACCCTGGCCTCTTTTTCGCTGTCAGAGGCCTTCAGGGACTTTTTCTTCTTCTGCGGACGGCAACGCTTTCCTGAAGGCTTCTGCAGCTGATAGGATCGATCCAGAGCTTTGTGACCCGCTCCAGAGGCCTTCAGAAAAACCACGTCGGCTGCTGAAGAAACGGGCCGGCCAGGCAGGTGTCGGGGTGGGTGGGTTGTGAGGCCTGGCTACAACTGTCCAAAGGGAAGTAGTAAGGCAGCTCGATTTCTCCCTCCAGCCCCCGATCCCTACCCTAACTTAATTTTTACCCATCCACTCTGGGCTTATTAGGGCTTATTTTTTGGGGGGGGGGTAGGGCTTTTATTGGGTGCATGTATGTAAAAATCAATCTAGGTGTCAGGGCTTCAACAAATCCGCCCCCCATTCAAATCATAAGTCTTTAGCCGCATCTCTCAAAGAAAATAAAATGGATTTATTAGGTGTGGTCACGTTAGCGTTACCTGGATGCAGCCGACACTAAAATACATCATTCATGTCCCTCTTGACCCTGGTCTCCCCCCACCCCGACTCCCTGGATGTATATTCTCCAATGGGACACGTCCATAGCCAAGAGTCATCCATCATGCTCTCCAGTAATACTCTTGCGTGCCAACAGCTTCGACTGAGAAGACGATGATCTGAGGCATTTAAGGAATGCACTGCTCTGCCCCCCAACTTCCTTTCTGCTGGCAAATAAAAGACCAAAGAGGTTTTTGGTTTTTGTTTCTTTTAAAGTTGACACTAGGACTTACTTTCAGGGTAGGTCGTATTTTTGGGGGAACCGGGGTAGGAGCTGTTCAGAGCCGTGAAAGGTCTGGCTTTTTTTTTTTTTAAGCAAATTGTATTGATTTTAACAACAAAGACACAAAACAAAACATCATGAAACATTAAAAGCATAAAACCTCTTTCCATTATAAATCTTTACAAGGCAGGTAACCCATTATTTTATATCCCATTCTTCTAATTTATCCCATTTTCCGTATAAACACGTAAATTCCCTTTCACAAATTTCACATGATTTCTCTTTACTCTTATTCAGTAACCTTTCTTTTCTAATCTATCTGCTATTCAGTCATTGCATTTATATTTTCCTCTGGCTCGTTTATAGTTATTCTCACCTGGCCTTCCTCCGAGAGTTTAATAATTCTGAATTAAACACGCGCACACATATAAAACACAAAAAAACCCATAAAACTTCCTTGTAGAAAGTAACTTGGCCCCAGATTGGCTTTGTTTCTCTTTTCAGGTGATCGACGATCTGGTGAAAGAAGTTCAGGACCTGCACAAGAGCATTGTCATCCTACATCACTCCCTGGGGGATCCCTACAACACCATTTTCCCGGACGTCCTTCTTCGCCAGCCCAAGTATTTGTCCTCCCTGTTCACCTTCACGTCCCGTCTCGCGCAGCACGGACGAAACGGCAAACCCGGGAGGGTGTAGGGGGGGTTGGTCCTCGGCTTACGCCCCGGCTGCTTAGCAAAGTTACGGCGGATCGGAAAGGGTGCCGTCAGTGGCAACCTGGGATTTAAAAGGCGGGAATGTCAGGCGTAAAGCGTGGAGCGGTGCGGCGGCTTAGAGGCGGAGCTGTCACCTCCCAATCAGGAAGCTGTGTGTTCAATCCTAGGTAGAGCTCTGGGAACAGTGAGAATTTATCTGCCGAACAAAACTCCCCATTGGCAACGGGCAAGGCATCCGGCCAGTAAATACTCAGCTCCCTTTAGTTGCTCAGACTGAAGCCCACACGGGATTATGGGGGTCCTTAAAAGGAGAGGATGCTGAATATAACGTATAAGCATCCCATAATGCTTTTGCAGCGTGATGACGTGATCAAAATTCAGCCGCTTGGGCAGCTGACTCAATTTTTAGGACGGTCGCGGTGTTCCCGGGGGTCACGCGATCTCCTTTTGCAACCTTCACGTCACCCCTCTCTCTCACTTAGCGGCAGAACTTTTGGGCTCAGTTGTGGTTGTAAGTCGAGGACAATCTGTTCTTACGACCTGGGTTCATCGTTCCGATGGCTGCCCTCCAGCCCTGCATGGTCTTGTGATGGCATTTTAGGGGCTCGGCACTTGTTCACCTCTCCTCCTTTTCCTAGTGTGGGTCAGCCAATCAATTAGAATAGCGCTGGAAGGGACCGCCGAGGCCATTTAGTCCAACCCCGTTTCATACTGCACCATTTCAGAGAAGTGGCTGTCCAGTCTCCTCCTTAAAGACCTCCGATGTTGGAGCACCTACAACTTACTGGTGGCAAGCAGTTCCACTGGTTAATCGTCCTCCCTCTTAGGAAGTTTCTCCTTCATTCCAGATTGCTTCTTGTTAGAGTTTGCAGCATAAATTTGAGTCCAGAAAACGTGCAGATGACTAATTCAGCCGGACCGCTAACTTCTTTATAAACATCATCATACGAGCAAAGTTTACAATACCAAGCGTAGATTCTTTCCATGTAACATAAGCATAAGGCTCCATGGGGTCATGCAGGGGCAACTCTGTAGGTTGTCTTTTGAGTCCCAGGCTTGGTTGAGCCTTTGCTGGATGATGATGTAATGAAAGGGCTTTGGGCAATTCCTATTATGGCTCTACCCGGAGTAGATCTTTGTTATGTAAAATAGACTGGCCCAGGCTAGAGTAATGGCCCATTAGCAAAGGTAAAGGCGGGATAAGTTTCTCCCTATCTGAGTTTCTACTTTTTTCTTTTTAAGGGAAATATTCTGCCTTTTTAAGCATATCCTAAAATATTTCATTTTCCTAGGAGTGGTGTGGATTTTAACTTCCAACTGGCCAAGCCCAAATCCTGCAAACCCCGCCCCCCCCCGCTTCATATGTTTTAGTCTCTAGGCCTTTAATCCTCCTAGTTGCTCTCCTCTGCACCTTTTTTTCCCCAAAGTCTCAACCTCTATTTATTTTTTATTTTTTTGTAGTATGGTGACCAAAACTGGATGCAGGATTCCGGGTGTGGCCTTACTAAGGCTTTACAAAGTGGCACTAATACTTCCCGTAATCTTGATCCTATGCGTCTGTTTACACAACCGAGGATCATATTCGCTTTTTTGGCGGCGGCGGCTGCTGCACCCGGCTGGCTCATAGTTAACCGAGGTCCCTCTCAACAGTCACTGTTTTTGAGCCAGGTTTGGCCTAAATCTCTACTTGTCACCCCATGTCTGCTTCTCTCTTTCACCCCCCCCCCAGATGCACCCCAGACATGGAGGTCGTTCTGAACATCCCAACGGATGAAGATTTCCCCTTGTAGTCGCCGGAGAGGAAGCAGGAAGGAGACGCTTCGACTGCCAAAACCTGCTTGGAATCGATGGTGGGTTGGGTTTGGCTGGGTTTGGCCCAGTTTGGGTGCCGCGTCCCGGCCAGAACCTTTAAACTTGCTAAATCTTACAGCCGCCTTTCAATTTCCTCGGTTAAATACATCGGGGTTTTTCCTCTATTAAAGGCAGACCTTATCTGACTCCATGGTGTTGGGTTTATGGTTGGGGCACCCCGAAAATCAATGCGTTTGTTTTTGTTCTGACAAAAACTACGGCTTCCGAGACCGTAATTACGCGCATGCTTCTTTTAAACACAATTTGTCAAGCCTGTGTTAGATAACAGATATAAATATAAATGTGATTATTCATACATGAAACAGATAAGAATCAAAGCGAACATTAGGACGGGAGGCACATTGGTGCGCTTATGCATGCTTTTTAAGAATGGGGTGAGGTCAACAGTAGACGGTCCGAAGTTAAAAGTTTTTGGGGGGTTTGGGGAAGAAACCACAGAGTCAGGGAGTGCATACCAGGCCTTGACTACCCTGTGGCACATTGGTGCGCTTATGCACGCCCCCTACAGACCTCTTAGGAAAGGGGTGAGGTCAATAGGAGACAGTCTAAGGTAAAAGTTTTTGGGGTTCGGGGAAGAAACCACAGAGTCAGGTCAAGTATTCCAGACATCGACCCCTCGGTTGCTGAAGTCGTATTTCCTGCAATCGAATTTGGAGCAGTTTACCCTGAGTTTGTATCTTGTTATTGTGCGCTCTTGTATTGTGGTCGAAGGTGAAGTAGTCTGTCAGTGTGTGCTCCCTTCAAAATCCAAGAAAGAAATACCCAGACTCCATGGATCAGAGCAAAGTTATTCTTTTACAATGGATTCTTTTACTCCATTGACAGGCGTGACATTGCAGTAGATAATTTTATGTACTACACTTAGGTCGGACCGAAGGCAGCGTAGTTCCAAGTTATCTAAGCCTAAAATTTCCAATTATGGTGGCATAAGGTATTCTGTTGCGAGTGGAGGAGTGGAGGACTCGTCTCGTGAAATATTTCTGGACTCTCTCGATTGCATGAATGTCCGATATGCAATGCGGGTTCCAGACGGGTGAGCTGTATTCAAGTATTGGTCTAGCAAAGGTTTTGTATGCTCTAGTTCGTAGTACAATATTACCGGAGAAAAAGCTACGCAGGATTAAGTTAACAACTCTTCATGCCTCCATCCCTTCCAATTCTGTTATTTCCGTTGCTAAGCAAGACCGTTGTTAAATTAGTTTTGCCCCACGTTACGACGTCCCTTGTGAGTTTTGTTAAGTGAATGACCGTGTTGTTAAAGTGAGCAACGCATCGGTGTGAGGGAGAAAGAACGCCTCCAGGTGTTTTTCACGGCAGCCTCCGAATCCACCACTAGGTGGAGACAGACGGCGTTTTAAGTGATGATGTCACAGCTCCGACCTTACATTTCAATGTAATGCATAACTATCCAATTTTGGTCACCACATTCGAAAAACAAGATGTCGAGACTTTTTTTGGGGGAAAAAAATGTGCAGAGAAGAGCAACTAAGAAGATCAAAGGCTTGGAGACTAAAACACACAAGAACAACACTGCAATATTTGGCTTCGGCTAGTCGACAGAAAAGAAGATTTAGGAGTGACGCGATAGCAGGATTCCAGTATTTGAGGGGCCGCCCCGAAGAAGAGGAAGTTGACTTATTTTCTAAAATGCCAGAAGGCTTAAAAAAAGAAACAACAAGTCATGGAGTAGAGAAACAACCTAAAACTTAAGGAGAAATTTCCTGACGGGAGAATTAGCCAGCGGAACTGCTTGCCACTAGAAATCGTGGGCATCCCTGGAAGGTTTTAAGAGGAGGCCAGACAGTCACTTATCTGAAATAGTATAGGTCCTCCTGCTGGAGCAAGGGGCTGGACTAGAAGACCTCTAAGGTCCCTTCCAGCTCATTCATTCTATTCTATTCCATTTACATCACAGCAGCTACGGTCATTTATTCAGGATGTTCAGATCATGACATACAGAAATCTTCAAGACGGTCGTGAAGCTTTTCGTCTGAAACGGTGCAGAATAGAAGAGAAATGCAGAGGAAGAGGGAAAAAATTGGAGCAAATACAAACTTTTCATATCTTTGGGCAGCTCTGGGGCTGTGCAGCGCAGACTTCACAAGCGTTCATTTAGTGACCGTTCAACGTTAACACTGGTGGCAAGGCAGGTCATCAAATGAAGCAGAGCTCGCCGTGCAACTGTCTTGTTTAGCAACGGGAATGTTGAGCGCAATCGTGGTCGTACGTTGAGGAATATCTACCGCGTGAGTTGTTGATAAAAAAACAAACAAACCCAATAAAGTCAAGTAGTAAACAAATATAAATAAATATAAATACAGATAGCCGTTGTCAGCTTTGGTCGTAAGTCACAGTTTACCTGCTGTGTTCTTTGGCCTAGCACAGTGGTCACCAACCAGTAGGCCAGGGACCACGGGTGGTCCGTAGGAAAATTTTGGTGGTCCGCAGAGAAAGTTCCCCCCCCAAAAGCAATTAATCCAGGCTGCACAGGAACACAAGGCTTGCGTTGCTTGCATTGCGAACACGAGGTAGTGAGAGGAAGGGGGAAAAGGTGGAGGGGGGAACTTGTCCCACGCACCCCACACGCCTGGCCTGGCCACCGGGTTGTTCCTTTCCGCTTCT